AATTTTAATAATAATAGTGAACACTTACTGTGTGCTTAATAAACCATAGTTTCATATCTATAAAAGTGAGTTTTAAAAACCTTTACCTCAAGTCAGGTATGATGATACATATCTGTAATTCCAGCACTCAGGAGGCAGGGAGCAAGAGGATTTAAGTTCCAAGCCAGCCTGGGCTACATAGCAAAATCCTGTCTCGAAACAAATAACAAACAAACAAACAAAAACTTCACCTCATATATTATTAACAAATATTAACTCTGTGCCTAAGTTTCCACTCATATCTATAAGTGGGAGTAAAATAGCACTTGTCTTACACAGGCATTGCAAGTAATAAATAAGCTAGTAAGTGTTAGTAGTTAGACTAAAGCTTCACATAGAATAAGCGCTCAGTCTAAGTTAGCTGTTTAAACAAAGAGGAGCTAGGAATAAAAATTTTGTTAAAAGTTAAGACAGATCCTTATAAATAACACTTTTGTATCCTAACACCTGCTGTATTATATGCCTTTATTTAATAATTAGAGTACTTGCAGTAATCAATACAAAATTTTCATAAGGTTTTATGTGGAAGGAATTCTAGCTTCTGAGTATAAAACAACTCATGTGTTTCAATTACCAAAGCTGGTCCCAAATCAAATATAATAGCGGGTGGATAGGCTGTCATATTTTTTAACTGAAACATGTAAAAGAAACAAAAATGAAATTTAAGAAAAATTTTAGATGAGACCCAAAAGTACTCTTAAAGGATAGTAACAGATTTGCGGCCAGCAATTTTACTTGAATGCTAAGTAACTTAAGTTTCTGAAAAGCCTCCAAATATGAAGAGGATCACAACTACGTTGAACACTAATGTATTTGATAGTGGCACAGGAGGTATCTGTTGTTTTTAGGTTAAATTTCAAAGGCAGGACTGTAACCAACACATTACCCATTTCAAAGGACTGAGTGAAGACTAACACAGCAGCTGGAAAAGAGGAAGTAATACCTATATAAACTCCCCTCAAATCCTTGGCTCATCCCTGAGCTAAGCAAACACTAAAGGACTGCTCTGAGAAACTCAATGAAATGTACAAGCTGTAAGCCGAAATACTGAACATGAGAAAATTTTAGTAAAACAAACATAGCAATACACGAAAATAGACAGTATCATGACTAAGCAGGATTTAACCTGGGAATGCAATGTTGGTTTAATTTAAAAAGTTAACCCATGTAAATCATATTAATGGGCTAAAAAATATGGTCATTTTGATAAATATGCAGGACTTGACAAATTCAATACCAATCCAGTATTTTAAAAAACAAGCTATTAACAGCAAATTAGCTATAGAAGAGAAAATCCTCAAATTGGTAAAGGACATTTATAAAAAAAAAAACACACCAGATGATGTAAGTCTAAGTGCTTTCCTTCTGCTGTCAGGAGGAAATGTGTTTGACTTGTTCTTGGTATAGTTTTCACTACTGCTATTTCAACACTGTACTGCCTTAAAAAAAAAAGGGGGTGGGGGGGCAAGAAAAGAAGTAAAGGGCATACATGCTGGGAAGAAAGATTTTTTTTAAGGTGTAATTTTTCACCAATAACATTACCATCAAGGTAAAATATCCAAAGGAGTCTAACAGAAAAGATTTAAGTGGCTTCCAGGAAAAAAAAAGATTGATACATAACAGTAATTCATTACATTTCTAAACACAAAGAACTGGAAAATAAAATGTAGGAAATACCATCTTCAATAGCACCCAAAAGAAAATAAAACAAAAAACTTGAAAGAAAGTTAACAAAACAGATGTAAGAGCTATATCCTGAAAACGGCAACAGCTCACTGACAAAAATTAAAGAAGACTTAAATAAAAGGAGAGACATACCAATGAACTAGAAGACTTAATATTGTCAAAATGTCAATTCTCTGCAATATAAATTTAAAACACAACCCTGGTCAAAATCCCAGTAAGCTTTTGTTTTTAATAAAAACTATCAACTCTAAAATTTCTATGAAAATACAAAAGACGTAAAAGTACTCTAACCATTTTTAAATAGAATAAAACTGGAGGACATAAGTTCCATTTCACATTAACATCAAGCCGGAGTAATCTATATGTAACACATAAAACACTTTTATATTATAGAGATGTATAATCAAAATAATGATAGAGATACATAGATCAAAGGCAGACAATATAGATCAGACAACAGACATATATAGAGTAGAAATTTCAGTAATTAACTCATATATATGACTTTTAACAAAAATCTCAATTGAATGAAGATAGGGTAGATGGTGGTATGCAAAAAAAAAAAAGATCTCAAACATTACCTCATACCTTATATAAATATTAACTTTAAACTCTAAATGTATTATAGACCTAAATTGCAAGAATAAAAACTATAAAACTTCCAAAATTTTCTTAAATTACTTATGACTTTGGATTAGGCAAAGATTTCTTAAACAAGGCTCCAAAAGCATGAGCCACAGGCTGGGGGTATAGCTCAGTGGTAGAGGGCTTGCCTAGCATTGGGAAAGGACCTAGATTCAATCCTCAGCGCCACAAAAAAAGAAAAGAAAAAGCTTGAGCCAAGCCACTGAAGAAAACTTGCATAATTTGAACATCACTATAAAAATCTTTCCTCTTCAGAAGAGATTGGTAAGGACATTAAAAGACAAGCCACAGAATAAGAAAAAACAATTTGCAAAATATGTACCCAAAAAATGACTTTATATGGAAAAAATAATTATTTCAATTTAATACCAAGAAAGCAGAAAAAAGCAGACAAAAGATTTATATAGGCTGGATGTGGTACACGCCTCTAATCCTAGCTACTTGGGAGGCATAGGTAAGTCCAAGGCACCCCAGGCAAAAGTGAGAGACCCTATCTGATTACAAACTAGATTTGCTCCTACTCGCAGCAAATGAGTTTGTATCTTGCAGTTGCTGGTGTCCTTGTCTTCACCAGTCTGACTGTCCTAATGTCTTTCCTTGACTGACTTCCTAGATGTTAGACCACCTAACATACTTCTGATTGCAGATTACCATATACTGCTGCCCCTTAAACCAACTTCCAGGTTTATTCACATTGACATACTTGAAAGATCATTAGCACCTGAGTTCTTTGACTGTTGGTTAATCCATTACCAAAACAGACCCTCTGAACTGTACTCTCCATGGCCTATGGGTCCAAGTTCTCCAAACTCTGTCATGTTACAGCATCAATAACTGTCAGGAATTGTGAAAGAATAAAAACTGGCTTCCATCTTTTAAAAGTCTTACCTAATCTATTTTTAATGAAGCCCATAGAATTTTAATCCAATGTGATGAATAAAAATAGATCAAAGTCTATGTTAAAATGAAAGACAATAATGAGAAAAGAAGAAAGCCAGACACAAGTCTAAGGGTCACACAGATGGGAAAAGGAAGAAATAAAAGCGATAATGAGGCAGAGAAAGACAAATTGATGAGAGAGACAAAGAGAGAAACAGAGAACCAAAAATGAAGAGCTTACTTACAAAGGCAGAAAGAGAAAGAAATAGAGATAGGAGCAGGAGGTGAGGAGAGAGAAAATCAGACATAGGCAGAGATGGAAGAAAGACACAAAAATCAATGACAGAAAAGGTGAGAGAGAGGAGTCAGCCCATTTTTTTCCTGTCTCCCTCTCCAGTTTTATCTATCCATCCTGGAAAATAAACAAATAAAAAAAAGTGTCACTGAAACTCCAATTCTAAATCATATCCACTTTGCTGCAGTGAAAATGAATGACCAGGGATTTCAGTTTCAGTTAGTGTATGGAAGAGGGATGGAAGTTAATAGCATTAAAAAAATAGCAACAAAAAAAACCTATCTCTTTGTCATCTTTCCACCAGTTTGTACATCCTTTCTGAAGCTGGTTTGTAGATTATCCATGCTGTACAAAAGAAGAAACTGAACCTCATAGGCTTCTGAACCAGAGGGAAGAACCCAGCCAGCTCCATGTCTTCCTTCTTCCCTTTAAGCCCTAAAGGACATCCTCTAAAGACCATGAGGGCTCTTCCTCCTTGTGTTTGTTCAGACTGTGCTCCATCCTCTCTGGGAAAATGCTCCATCCCTCAAGTCCCAACCCCAATCCATTCAGGGACTGAGTCTTGCCCACCTCTATTCAGGTGTGCAGTGTAGGGACTGGTACACAAAACTCAGAAGTTATGTGTGTCTGTTAAATTAATAAATGTACATACATAGGTTCTAGACATATATATATACATAGACATTACACATGTTCACTACTTATATAACATAAAATAATTTTGTTCATAGTACTAACAAAACTATTCTAGCAACTTCCATCTAACTATATTCTTTCTCCAGTGTTCTCAATATTATTAATGTCATTATTATCCAAACTACTCATCCCAGCTAAAAACTCTTTTAGCTAATCAGGAAAGCCTGTTGCTCTTATCTTCTAAATATCTGCTAATTTTTTTCTCATGCTATCTATCCACATGCCCAATTCTTTTTTTAAACTCTCCTTAACGGATCTTCTATCTTTTCCATCCCTACATTGTTCCTAGTAATCCTTCTGAATCAGCCACATTCTTCACAAGACAGCTTTAATGGAAAGAATTGACATTGAACTCCATATTCCCAGTTACACTTCAATACACCTCAATCACCATAGTCATTTCCTACATGTCTTTCTCCTTCTCTGTCCACATCAAATTCTCTAATTCCCTACACTTATAGCTTTTCCCTTCCACCAGATCTCAATCCAGGGGCATTCTTACTCGTCCCTTTTTCCACATCCAGAGTTTTGAAAATTCAGCTGTAATTACATTTCATTCCTGTCTCTGTATTTCCAATGCTCTTGAAACATATTTATTATGACTTATAAACTATGGTAATTATTTAAGCATCTGTATCATTACAATGTGAACTGTACAAGAACAGATTGTCCCACTTACTTTTTTCAGTATCACAGGGCTTAACACAGAATCTGTGCATGAATGGGGCCCAATAAACATGAGAAGAATAAACAAACATACCTTTCTGTGCTTTAATTAGTTGCTTTCCAATTTCTAGCGTCACATAGGCTGTGCCATTTAGTACTATGTCAGTTATGGTCTTCCAAGCATTAGGAGAGAGTCGTTCAGTGGGAGAAATAAAATTCCCTGCTGCATTGTTTATCACAATCTAATAAATGAGTAAGGTAAGTTGTAAAAACGTTTAAATGAGAAAGAACATTTTCCCTCTAAGGCTTTTATTTCTGAAGCTTATTAATCCAAATAATATAGTACAGCTGAAGGTTCATCGTCAGCTATGAAATGATACCAGGGGATTTGTTTTGGTTTTATATTTTCTGAGTCTGTGGAAATTTCCTAGGTTATTTCCTAATTTCTGAATCCTGACACCTGTCTTTAAATTCAGTTAGACTCTTTTATTAAGAAAACAAATACAAATTATGCATATTTTCTATGTGACTACATGGTAAATTTCAAGGAATCTTTAAAAATGACCTTTAATTTCTGGTGTCATTTTATTTTAACTTATTATTAATTCTTGGTTGGTAACCTGTTTCTTTACCATCAGTAAAGATTCTGCTTAATACTACAGCAGATGCCATACCATCAGTCTTTCTTTAACATAGAACAGTGCTCTCTTTGAAATTATTGGAAGAAATGGTTTCTTTCTAATGAATTAAACCAGTAACAGCAAAATACCAATTTATATCTTAGGTCTTACAAAAATAAATGTGGAATTTCTTGTAGTTTTCCTTTTTGTATTGCTCTTCTCCACTGAGAAGGCTAATCAAAAGTTATTAGAAAAAGCAAAGACCATGAATCATTTAAACTAGATATTGTGTTCTTGGATAACTGCTCTCGTTATTTCCATAATCTTATTAAATAAATGAAATCAGTTTTTTTCTATGATTATCCATGTTTGTTTTAAGTATTTCTGAAAGGAAATAGTACAGCAGTCCACCAAATCTTTTCCTTGCTTTACGTAGAGCTGGTATTTTTCTAGGGACAGAAAACAAGTGCTTTTCAACACAGGCCTTGCTCACATCAGTGGTTTATTTCCTTTGTGCATCCTGGCAGGTGTTTTCAACATCAAAAGCCTTGTGCTTTGGCTTCATTTCTATTATACTTACATCAGGATGTCCTGCAATTTTGATCAGTTCCAACACAGCATTATGAACCATATCAGGATCCTTCACATCACACTGAATTGCATGAACCTGCAAAATAACAGAGAATAGAGAAACCTACATTTTCCAGGTTTCCTAAAGCAAAAACATGAGTAAATTATTTAAGTATGTCATGATTCCTAAATCTAATTTAAATAACTACTTCTTAATATACCTTATTTCCAGTTTGAGAAGAAATTTGTTCTGCAGTAGCTTTCAAAACATCAATGTTCCTAGAAATAAACACATAGTACTTTGTGTAAGTTCTAAAATGTTTTCATATTTAATTCCTTAAGTTAAAGAACAGAGCATCTATATTTCTAAGAAAGCACAAACATTATATCTACACACAAATCAATTTGAATGAATTCATTTTTTAAAAGTGAAGTTTAAACAATGTTCATATATTTGACATAATTCATTGAATTACTCTTACTCCAGTTACTTGGGCATTACCTATTCATAGATTTAAATTATTTTCTTAATTATAATCATTATGTTTATTCTTCTGCTCAAGCCAGCATTATAAAAGAATACATTCACACTACAATGTTAGTAGGTTTCAGGCCAAATTTTTGGATCTGGCTAACCTATTTGCTTTAGTCTTGCATCCTTAAAAGAAACATAAAAAATAAAGCATGAATGTAAATTATGCAATACTAAAATGAAAACAGTATTTTAGAACTCACTCTCTCTCTCTCTTTCTTGACTGTACTAGGATTTAAACTCAGGGTCTTGCTTAAAACTTTTAAACATTATGACATAAGAACAAAAATGTTCTGGCCAATTGCATTTATAAATGACACAGTGACTGTCCTTCCGAAAATTTTAAACTTGGTCTATCGAAATGTTTAGACTGTTCAAAATTGGAGAAAAGGTGAATTTTCTGACCAGTCTCTAAAGCTCCAGACTTACCTACTTATAGGTACTAGAGCATGATTAAATAAGAAATTCCTCTACATTCAACACAATTGATGTTTTGAAATATCTGTCCATCTTAAAGAAAATGGACTACATCTATTATCCCGGCACAAAATTAATTATCAGTTGAAGAAGTAATAATAATCACTCCCACTGAAAACAAGGTGGCCTCAGTGTAGTTCTTTTTAACTTCATCTTCAAATACAGAAAAAAATCTATCGCTGGATTTGGGGCAAGGACGTCAGCAGTTGAATAATTGTCATTTCTTTAATCATCTCAAGTTATAATTGAGTTTTTCCAAAGATTTATTTAATTAATCTACAGAATATTTCATGTAAGGTTAAGATGCAAATCAATCCTACAACCCTGGTAATCAATGTTTTCACTTTTGTGGCACAGATGATTTCTTCAACAGACGTGCAAGCAACTTACTAAGACAGACCAACTTACCGGCTGGCTATCACACACTGAGCACCCAGGTTGGACAGGAAAGTTGTCATTGCTTTGCCAAGGCCAGTACCTCCTCCAGTAATGAATGCCACTTTTCCTTGAAAAGTATTAGGTGGCAGCATGAGTTTTTGAAGGGGTGGAAAAAATTTAGACTGTGGAGCATTGATGTTTTGATACAATGTTTTTGTTCCATAACTGAAAAGCTAAAAGGGAGAAAAATTGAAACTTGCATCTATGCATTTCCACAAGAGATGAATTTTTAAAACTTATTCCTGAATTTAATGATAATCAAATTCTTAGATTAATACAAACTCATTATAAGCATATAATTATTATCCATAATCAACATGTTCAATAACATGATGAAGTGGTTAAAAAAAAGCATGGCTCATCAGAATGATCTAGGTCACCCTCTTGGCTCTGTCCTGTCACTCCCCCACCCTCCACGGGACTAGAGTTTTCACCTGTCCTTCCTGTTTTGGGCTGACTCAGCTATGGATGGTCTCTGGAAACCCAAGCATTCCCCGCCCTCAGAACTTCCCTCTGCCTTCCTCCTTGTTCTATTTGGTTTTGTGGGAGAGGGGATATGCCAGGGTGCCAGGCCAGCTGCATGAGGGCCACAGAGAGACGCTAGATAATGTGCCTGTTTTATAACTCAATAAAAAAGCCTACTCTAAAAATTCCCTTTTTGTTCTTCTGCCCTTAACTGAGTTGGGAGCCTCTGCCTCCGGCCTGCATATCCTGGTTCCCAGGTCACAGGGAAGCCGTACACATGTCCCTTTCCCTTGCATGCTCATTGGCATCTGGTAAGGTAGTTTTCTGCTTAGGGGCACTAACATTAAGTAGGAGAGGACAGTACATACCCGAAAACCCTGGAGTAGCCGTCCCCTTCAGCTGTGGGAAGGCCCTGACTCACTGTCACTTTGAAGTTGAGGCGTCCCTCCCTCTCCCCCTTACTTCCTGTATTCTAAACACTAGTAACAAACGTGTTTACACAGAAAAAAAAAAGCTTGGCTAGGGAGCTAAGTCATAGAGCAGAATTTCCTCCCACATCCTATACCACAATCGTGTTACTTAACCAATCTGTGCCTCAGTGTCTTCATCTGCAAAATAAGGACAAAAAAGAACCTTCTTCACAGGACACAGTGAGGATTACTATGCATTAATATAAGTAAAATAACTATAGTCATATATAGCACATATAAATGCTAGCATTAATTTTTACAGGTGCTTTATTCAAATTTAAGTTTAAAAACTATGAAGTATTTCTGTCTGTTAAAAGAATAACTTGACCCGGGCTTGGTGGTATATACCAGGTAGTCACAGCTACCTGGGAAGCTGAGGCAGGAGGATTTCAGGTTGGAGGCAGCCTCCTCACTAAAAAAATAATAATTTGGATAAAAATCACATTCCATCTTTAAATTACTGAGAAAAAGTTTTTTCAAATGTCTTTAAAAGGTTTATTAAATCAAAGGCTTTCTTCTGACAAATAAATTTTAAGTCCAATTCATTTTAAACTAAAAAAAATTTGTATTGCTACATTTCATAGTTTATAATTTATAATCATACTACATGTGAAAATTATTATTCTCTCACACTTTAATTATAAAAACAAACTTTAAAAGTTACATAAGAAATCACAGGAGCCAATGTTCATTAAGTGTTTACCATGGCCAAGATTAAATATCAAACTATTTAATCACAATAACCATAGGAAATGGGTGTATTTTTATTCCACGTACAAGAAGGTCTCAAAAACATGAAAAATACTGACAAAGTTACTGGGCCAATTTTCATGCGTAGGCTGACAGACTCCTAAACATTCATTTTGTCTATTCTCTGAGTGCCTGCTAGGCTTAATGATCACACCAGGGAGTTATGTGATATTCTCCCTTCAGTTAATGGTGACAAGGTCAAAACTCCAGAACTGTCACTTCTTCCTAGAGCATTCCTATAGCTAAAACATTGCCATCAGCCTATTTATCCAGGATATCTAAAAACTTGCCCTAATAATTGGAAATATGGTCAATGATCTAGAATAAGACCACCCATCACCTGGAAATGACAGAAGAAAATGCTTATGCTGTGATGGTAAGTAAAAAAAGAAATAAATATACATTATGTTCTTCATTTTGCAGTGCTGGGAATTAAACTCAGGGCTTTGTGCATGCCAGGCTAGTGCTCTACCACTGAGCTACATCTCCAGCCCCCGGTATGTTCTTAACTACAAATAAAAATAAATGATTAGAAAAAAAGGTTAGAAAGGAAAAAGCAGCAGTAAGCAAGACTGAATATTTACCATATGCCAATGTCATCAGTAGACCCTCTAACATGACAGTCTTGTGAGGTAAATTCTACAAAATTTTCTCTTAATTTATAGAGGAGAAAATTAAAGCCCAGAAAGATCAAACAAACTACTTTTACAAATAATAATAGTTAGTAAAGAAGACTCAAACCCGTGATTTGCCTGACTTTCAGAGTTGTCTTTTAGAGTTATCACAAATTGATAGGATTATGGGTAATTCTTTGTTTTCTTCTATTTGGTTGGTTTTAACTATTTTCAAAATCTTCCTAGTAAATATGATTTGATTCTATAATCAGGAAAAAAACACAGACTGAAAGACAAAATTTGGGAATGTATATAAAATAGCTGGTGAAGATAAATTGGCAAATCTGTCTATTTTCCACTCCAGTCTTATTTCTTTTAGCTTCATTCATGTTGACAAAGCATTTTTTTTTTGCATTCTTTTGCCAAAGCATAATAATCCAAGAAACCTACAATAATCTTTTCTACATAAATGGCAGATTTACTTAGGGCTGCCACCCACCTCCAGAACTATCGTATTGAGATTGAATCAGGAAGTTTGTACCAGTAGGCTGGTAAGTTTGTTACTACCTAATAATAATAATGAAAAAAGTACTCTAAATTTTCAAGCTCTGCCATGAAATTTTATGTACTTAGTGTTAATTTGTGTAGGGAATTTGATGTAAGGTTTTATGAGAGATAATTAAACAAGATATTTACATACAACTTTTAAAGTTTACTTCAAAGCATTTTTTCAACCACATAACTGGTACAGAAAAGTATATAAAGGTAAAAAATGTCACATCTGAGGATAATAATTCCTAGTTAGTGTCTACGATGTAACAGATAATTACGTAAGTCTACCTCTTTTATTTTATTTGAGCTGATCAATACTGATCTTATGATTTCACTTCCCTACCAATCTAAAAATGCAAAAAAAACCTTGCTTTTTTAATTCACAGCATATATGTGAATATAAATTCACCATATATATTTAGGCCAAGGAATGCATTGGCCTAAAAGTTGTTCATTTCAACATTAAGACCCACAGAGATGATCAGACCTCACAGAATCATTTCTAAAGCAACATCCTAAATAACCTAAATTTTCATTTGACCATTTCCTTCTGAATTACAAAAAGTTGATACAAAGTAATCTTTGAAACATTTTCAAATCTTGTTTTGCTGCTTTTCTACAAATAAGTTGTTTGTAAATAAGTGCCAAAAAAGGAAATCATACCTTTCATATCAAGATTGATTTCTCTGTCTATCTTTGGTGACCTAAAATTCTTAAAACTCTCTAAACTCTTCCAATTTTAGCAACACTGATCTATTTTTTTAGTGTTAGAAGCTTTAACTCTCCTCAAGAAGATTGGGTAATCTGCCTCCATACTCATCAGTCTCCCACATCATATAAACAGTATCTTCCTCTTTCACGCATTCGTAACTTAAAGCAACTAAACTAATGAGAGGCAATCACACTTCTATTATTCAAAATTGCAATTCTGGAAGAGTCTTGACCCCTCCCTAGAGGATAAAAAGTATGTATCAATGACATTTATACCTAAATTACTTAAGGATTTGGGCTACTTTTAAAATGTCTAGAGTAAATATCTAATATGGAGATACACTGGTGATTCCTAGGCCAAACGTGTTTTAGGAGGCCTGCCCAATGCTTTGAAAATCTGAGTCAACACACATGAGTAGGTACAACCATGACTGCCCCCCTTGGGAGATCTTCCAGAAACCCTTCTTCCCCCTCCCTTCCTTCCTTCCTTCCTTCCTTCCTTCCTTTTTACCATAGGTAAGTTTCCTAACTTTGCAAAACAAATTTGTATAAAAATAATATTTTAATGTGCTACACATATTTTTCAAGAAAATTCAGTTTCAAATCTATTAAATTCATAAGTCAGACTCTCATAAGGAAGTTGTAAAGTTGAAGGAGTCAATATTTAAATAACCATTGGCCTACTGTTTTACCACCACCACCCCTGTCACTATTAATTAGGCCTCCTCATTAAATCCCATTCCTCAAAAATACTGATCCCTTCCAGAGTCAAAAAGACAAAAATCAAATTCTTGAACCTGGCATTCAAGTCACTTATACTATAGCCTCGGCCTATCTTCTTAACCTCAGTTCTTACCAGTTATCTTCTGCAAAGATAAACTCTGTACTTACTAACCCTTCAGCATTCCTAAAATTTGCCAAGCACTTTCATCCTCTAGCCTCTGCTCTGGCTTTCTCTTCAGCCTGAACTATCCACTTCTTTCTCAACCTAGCAAAATCAGCCTCCAAAACCAGGCAAAAGTACCAACATCTCCTTTCACACTTCTGTAGAAGATGTCTCCTCAGTTATAAATGGCAAAAGAATCTCTGCCTTCATCAGACTCCAGGCTTCCACTCTAGGAAAGCAGGAAGAGCACCTTAGTCATCACTTTAACAGGGTTTCTGGTATCAATTAGGCAATCAGTAAATGTTTGTTTTATTGGATTTAATATTGGATGGCCAGGCTCTCATTCCTTTCAAAAGTGCACAGGTACAGACCTATAGAGTTTCACATGAATTTTTTATATAAATTCGGCCCTTGCAAAGAGCTATTTAAAAAAAAAAATTAGAAGTCATTTCCAATGATCAGAAATCATGGCATCTTAAGTTAGCCTATACTTAGGGAAAGAAAATCCAAATCTACTGATATGTGGGTATTAACGAGTCATTTACTAATAGAAGAACTGGGCAAATGGCTTAAAAAAGTAGTCCACATAAAGAACATATATGTGTATGTGTGTGTGTATTTATAACTCTATAAGCATATCTAAACAAAATAAGATCATTTTTCTCTTACCAGAGGGGTTGTAGTTCAAAATTTTATAATATATAGTACAAGAAAGCAGCATCTTA